GCGATCGTGTAAAATGTATTCCCATTTATCTCGTATCCTTTGTAAGTCAATACAGTCAAAGATGGTCCCTTGGACAACAAGTACAACTCATCACAAACAGTGTTGTCACCTCTGAGACGTGTTTCCAACCAACTGCTGAAAGTCCTGATGTGTTCACATGTAATCCAGTCGTCGCACTGCTCCGGGTGTTTGGAGCGCAGACTGTTCTTGTGTTCATCGACATACGGGGTCATCAAGGTAGAGTTCTGTAGAACTGTGTAGTGTGCTTGAGACCAAGAATATCCGTCCCTGCATATTATTGAGTCTCTTCCAAGAGTGCCTTTTCCAGTCAGTCTCCCCTCATACCGCGATTTAGGGAGACCTATCTTGTTAAGGCCAGGAATGAAGTCAACACAAAACCCGATAAAGTCCTCTGTTTGATGGCCCATGGAGATCCTTTGGAAACTTCTTCTTCAATATTTTCAGTAGCTTCTCAAATCCTTTGTCAGCCACAGTATTCTCTGTCTTCCACTGCAGCAATTCCAGTACGGTACCGAGCTTTGTGTTGCCATCTTCGCAATTGGGGTATAACCCTTTTTTGTGATCCTCTAACATGCGATCGAATTTCAGCTTCTCCTTTTGACTAATGCATTGCGTCCTTGCATCGACAATGACCCGGCGGAGATCATCATCATCGGGCACATCGTCTGGTTCCTCTTGATCTTTAGCAGATTCACCCGTTGCAGCATCATTGGGCACATCGTCTGGTTCCTCTTGATCTTCACCAGCTCCCCCCATTGCAGCATCACCGTATTCAGGGGGCACATAGTTTTCATCGTAGTCTTGTTCTTCGCCGTCTTCCATCATAACCCCTATTTCTCCGTGCCTCGTCCAAACATTATAGTGTGGCATGAAACCCTTGTAAAGCAGGTGGGAGTGAAGGATTTTCCGGTTAGAGTAAGACCTCGTATTCCCACATTCAGTGCATGGACAACACATAAAACCATTCTGCTTGTTTGCCTTAGCCGCATCGAGAAACTCATGCACGCCCTTAATGTACTCGCGGGTGTGTCTGTCACCGTACATCCATTGCCGGTTCATCTGCGTGCATTATATATAATTAAGTGTCCAAATTAATAGAAGTTCATCATCACATTAAAACCAAAGTGCATACATAGTTCTCATCTAACAACATATAGCTCTCTAGAGCATCTAATTAATTAAACTATACATTGAAACTATGTAAAACATTTCAATGCGAAAACAAATGTGATCATAATCGCAACCAAGGTAATAATTGATCCAACGGCATAATGATACCAAGCCTCGGTATGAATGGCATATTTTCTAATCTTTCTAATCTTCAAGCGCATTGCGTCCATCTTGATCTTGTGATCATCGACGACATCCGCAACATGCAACTCCAATATCATCTTCTCCTGCTCAATTTTTTTATTTTTTCCTTCAACAAATTGTTTTCTTCTTCAACTAAATTTAACCTCTCGACAATAGGGTCAGTTGGCATTTCCGATTCACATACATCCTAGATAAATAAAATCTATGTCACGTTGGTCGACATAATTTTCATAAACAATAAATGAACCAATAGTTATAAAGATAATATACATACCACATCCGAATCATAGACAGGACGAGGGCCGACGGGGGCAGATACCAAAACCATCGCACTATATAAGATGCAATAATAAATGTAAGAAAATGATACAAGTATCTATCTAAACATACAAGTAAGAATATTTTTTCTTTCAGAAAGAAGATAAGAACAAGAGGCTCACCACGATGGTGTCGGTGATGAGATCGGCGCGGGTGATCGAGGCGGTGAAGACGGGGACGGGGCGTGACAGACCGCTAAATCTAGACAAATCTCAAGGAAAATGGAGCTTGGAGGTCGAGCTTCGAGAGGAGAAAGCTTAAGTAGTGTGGCTCGGGCATTCCATCGAACACCTCATGTGCATAGGAGGTGAGCTAGAGCACCACAAAGCCCTCTCCCCCTTGGCCAGAGAAAAACAGAGCACTGGGGTGCTCTGCTCGCGGTATATATAGGCACCTCATTGGTCCCGGTTGGTGACATGAGCCGGGACTAAAGGGGAGCCTTTGGTCCCGGTTCAAGCCACCAACCGGGACCAATGGTGGTGGGCCAGGAGCGAGGCCCATTGGTCCCGGTTCATCCCACCAACCGGGACCAAAAGGTCCAAATGAACCGGGACCAATGGCCCACGTGGCCCGGCCGGCCCCCTGGGCTCACGAACCGGGACCAATGCCCACATTGGTCCCAGTTCTGGACTGAACCGGGACTAATGGGCTGACCCGGCCTGGACCAAAGCCCTGTTTTCTACTAGTGAGTGGTGGAGTTGTGCCCCAAAGAAATTCAAAAACCCCCGAAAGAAAGGGTGAGGAGGCAAGAAAACCCACGGTCGACGTGAGTGGCAAGGAGAACGCGCTCACCCTCCCGAGGTTGCGGCTCAGATTCCTTCCCCGGAAGCCGCGCCGATCCATGGGGGATCAGTCCTCCATCGGTTAGGTCGTCGAGGTCTTCTTGGAGGATCATCGAGCGGATCCAGTCGCCCTGGATCCAGCCCTTCGGCAGGCCGGCTCGTGAGGAAGATCCACCCCGACTGGTCGCCTTCCCCTTCGTCTTTGCCGTCGCCTTCTTCGTCCGCTCCAGAGCCGCCGTCTGCTCCTTCCCCATCGTCGCCGGCAAGACACGTACGGAGCGGCGGCGCTGGGGCGAGAGCGAGCGCGACGAAGAAGCCTGAAGAGGAGGAGAGGAAATGAGAACGCACTGTTCAAGAAACCCCGGTCCGACGCCTTATATGAGGTTACTTCCGAGTGGCTGACTGGTAGGCCCGGACGATCCTGTCAAATCCCGCAACAGTCACGCGCGCGATACGTGGCGAAAAAGGTGGCGCGGAGATCGAGGAGGCTTCGCCCTATCCCATCCGATTACTGCGGCCTCCCCCGTCCCGCGCGCTTCCCAAAATTCGAATCCCGCGAAATCTGCGGGCAGCAGAACAACTTGTCAGACGGAAGATCTCCTCCACACCGTCACTCGGAGCTTTTCAAGTAAAGAAACTCACTCGACAAAAAACTAAGAATGGATCAGGCGGCTAAAAAGGAAGTTGTTGTCGTCACTCAGGTTCATTGATCCGAAACAAGATATGCTCATGGCATGAAAAATGAGTCGAAGAAGTTCTCAACTCCTTCCCCACTCAAACCTCAATCCATTCGGGGGCTAATGAAGAAGCTATGTACCTAGAGTAGGGTCATCAACCTGTCCTAACTGCCCTACCCAAGGACATCTCTAGAAGATTCAATCGACTTGGAGGTGTTCCACTCGACAGACTCGAAGACACTCGACCAAGAAGCAATCACTCGACCAAGATCCAACCACTCGACGGCCAGGAGACCTAAAGTCACTCCGCACGCTAACGGTCGGTCATTAAGTAGCTTTTATGGTCATCATAGCACTTTATTAGGGGCGTTACCAGTAACGCCCAACCTTAATGTACTTAAAACCCTGCATAACTGAGGGCCGGAGGGGTCCGGCGAACTCTATATAAACCACCCCCCTCCTCAGTGTAAAGGGTTCGCACCCCTGTAATTCATACACACATAATCCAGTCGACCGCCTCCGGGCTCTGAGACGTAAGGCTATTACTTCCTCCGAGAAGGGTCTGAACTCGTAAACCTCGTGTGTGCTTACAACTACTCCATAGCTAAAATCTTGCCTCTCCATACCTACCCCCCTACTTTACTGTCAGACTTAGAATCACGACAAGACCTACACGGGTTGGTTCAATGGGGAGGAACTTCCCGGAAGTTTCCGCGTCATATGCATGCGTAGAGATGAACGAAGTCACATTGATGGTCATGTTTCCATGCCCACAAACTCAAAGCTATGGAAAGAAAGATGATCTATCGTACGTACAATTCTTGTGGTCAATTAATCTACGGAAAGAAAGCTGATATACACACTGCCAGATTTTAGTTTGCTATAAACAAAGACTTTGTGGGTCCTCTGGTCGCCTGGGAACGACACGCGCTGTGTCTCGGTGGGTCCCTCTTTGACTCCAACGGAGAATGTAGTGCCGGCAGAGAGAACAGAGGACCATCACTCGAGAGCTAGCTACCTAGCAACTCCACTGTTCTCGCGCTTCTTCCTCCTCCTCCGCTCCGCGTCCGGCTCCGCTGCCTCGACGACGACAGGCCCGCCGGACGGTCCTCCGCCGCGTCCCCCGAGCCCTGCCGCCGAGTCACGTCACGCGCGCCGCGCCCCTCTCCATTGCCCGGGTAATCCTGTCCTCATTAGTTTGAGAACTCCATAGGCTGGCTGGGACTTGGGAGTGCACGGGAGGGGCCCTGACTATGGTGTGGTCATCTCATTCTCATCTGCTACTGCACATTGCTAGCACCATGCTCAGTTGTTCACCATCATCTGGTGGCCTGGCATCAGGCCGCTCATGGTTAGTCCTTTGGTTGTAGACTTGTAGTACCGGCACAGAACAGAGAACCTTTACCCAGCTTGCCGGCCACTCCATCCGTCTCAAGATAAGTGTCTTAACTTTATACTAATTTTAGTATAAAGTTGTAGTGCTAAAGTTGAGACACTTATCTTCGGACAGAGGGAATACTAGTTCTCACTCTTCTTCCTCCTCTTCCCCGCGTCCGGCGCCCCTGCTACTCCATCCAGTGTTCTCCGCCGCATCCCCCACCCCGGTCGGCGAATCACGATCACGTGCGCCGCGCCTCTCCATTGGCCGGGTAATCCTGTCCTCATTAGTTCGACAACTCCATAGGCTGGCTGGGACTTGGGAATGCGCGGGAGAGGTCCTGACTTTGGTTGTTGTCATGTCATCTGCTCCTGCAGGTTGCTAGCACCATGTTCAGTTGTGCGCCATCATCTGGTGGTCTGGCATCAGGCGGCCCCTCTTGATTAGTCCTGCGTCCTGAGCCACTTCCGTTGTCCTGCAACTTCGGCTGCAGCGGCAGCTGCTCGCTGAATGGAGGACGCGGAAGAAGTGCAGATTTGGGCGCCGATTCTTGCTGACCCGCTCGATTGGCCTCCATCTTCAGTTACCATCCCTCTTCCAAGTCAGGTACATTTCGTTTCTTGCTCAGCTAGCTCTCTTCTCACATGTTTTATTTATGCTAGACACGCGCCATAGTACATGCAGACCAAACGTTGATTTTGGACCTTACAAGTGCACTACGTAATGCTCCCTACGTCCCAAAAAGCTTGTTTTAGATTTGTCTACATACGGATGTATCTAGCTAGACACGTTTTAGAAGTTTTTTGGGACAGAGGTAATATATTTGTCCATTCGCCCTAAAAAAATTGCAGTATACTTATGCTAGACAGAGGAAGAGTAGTGAAAAGTGCAGTAACTACACCAATCGTCTGCCGAGGCCACAAAGGAATACAAACACAACTCCACTCGAACTATGAAAACAAAACAGGTGTAGCAGGGGGCTTCCCTATTGCTCTTGCTCAAAAGGAACTCTGTCCCCGCAAAAAAAAGGAACTCTGCCGGGCACCAAACTCCTAGACAGTAGACACAATCCAACCATCTGCACCGTCACCGGTAAAAATCAAAATCAAGGTAGTTATACTTATATCTATTCATGACAGGTGGAAGAATATTGCAGTTATGTGTATGGCGTCGATGGCATGGGAATCAGCAAATTTGCACCAGAGCCCAAAGATGATTTGGGAGGTACCATGTCAATTATGCTATCCTGTCTAGTATTTCCAGTTACACATGCATGTGAGCAGATTCAGTTTTTGTGTATTCGCAAGCTCATCAAGCTAATGTATGCATATTTGGTGTTTAGACCTCATAGTAAAGCAAAATTGGTGGCATCGCCTTCGAGGTCCTCGCAAGAGGAGGATATTTCCTTGGGGAAGCGGGGGCATGAATTTTCACCGTCGAAAGAACAATGAGCATTGGACACATGAAGAAGTGAAGAAGCTGGTTAAGGGTGTCAAGACATATGGTGCCGGGCGATGGACTATGGTGAAGAATCGTTACTTCTCATCATCGATTCGAGACCCAGCACATCTCAAGGTATGGGCAAACATTGAAGTTGTTTTTATTAGGTTGGGGGAGAATATCAAAGTTGACTAAAAAAATATATTGATTCAGATAGCATGTTGTTTTTCATGTTTTAGGACAAATGGAGGAATCTTCTGAGAGCTTGTGGGGTCCCGTGCAGCTCTCAAAGGAAGGTCAGTTCATTATGTTCTGTGTTCTTCTCTGTACAGTTACTCCATGAGAAATTCCAAGTATATTGGATTATCATACATATGTTTAATTTGATGCAGGAAAAGGCACAAAAGACTATGTTCCGGCCCTTAGATACAGAGTTGATCCAACAGATCCAAGAGTTGGCCATCGATTCAGCCTCCACATCAAAAATGAAGAAACACCGTGGGAAAGGAACAACTAGCTGAGAATGACAACAAAATGATGGTTGCGGCCTTATAAGCTTACTTAGGTTAGCAACATCTAAATGTGTTACTTCTGTTGAAACTTGAAATCGGAAATATGTGCATACATTATGTAAGAAAAGCCAGTGAAACCGGCCGGCTTTTGTGCATCTATATATACCGTAGCTAAAAATTGTGCACTGTATAAATTCTGTGTGGTCGGTGCTCTAGCAGATTCCAAACTTCTTGTTTCGTTCTTAGTTTTCCTTCTTGATGTAAAGGTTCCACGGTCACCTTGTATAAATGCTTTCTTACTAAGAAATTAGCAATTACCATCTGTCCTGTTATATGCCAGAAAACACCATGCACCTGTTATCATACAAAACATCTCTCGATAGTGGGTATCAATCACACTAATACCCATTGGTCTTAAGATAATAAAATAATTTCGAAATAAAAGGTATTGCTGAAAAATTAAGGTTTTTATGGTATCTTCGTCAATGTGTGGTCTTTGCAACGGAAAATTGCGCTCGACGCAACTAGTCTGGAAGTAAGAAGTGTTGTTTTCATGACAATGAGACAATCAAATATAATTTTCTGCCAATGCAAGCTCGCACGGGTTACATGGGCAGTCATCCAGTCATCTAGATTGCATGTAACGTTTATCTGCCTAGTAGTGTTGCCAACATGTTTGGTAATTGGCTACATGAAAGCGCATTGATAATGGTGGAAGCAGCAACCTTGATTTGGTCATTGTGACACCCATAATTTTTAATGTGAAAAACTACTCTTTGTTCCAGGTTATCTTCTAGTGTATGCAGTACTTTGTTTGTGGTCTACATTTCAGCGACAAGAATATCGACGACTGCTTACGGTGGTGTGTACACGGTTGCTACATGCGGTCAAGGATGTTTTAATCATCTTGGGTGGCGGCATAATGATATGAAAATGGTCATGGCTGATTACAAATTTGTACTCTATGAAAATGTTAGTTGTAAGATTTATTGGACCCTTGGACTGCTCTTAACCAAATATTTGAAGTTAGAAAAGGTGAAAACTGAACTTATGTGTTCCACAAACGCCTTGGACCGCTCTTTGGTACTGCCCTCTTTTCTTTTGTGTAATGGTTAGCTAGAGTCTAGGATGACTCTTTGAAGAGAGGGGTGACGAATCTATTGTAAGCCCACCATTAGTATGTAACTGGGTCTGACCCATTCTTCTTTCTTAGTTGCAAGTATACCTTTCACGTGTAATTGGCCTTGGCCCATTTATTCGTCTCAGTTGTAAGTGCACTCTGGACACGTAGCTGGAGGTTCGACCCTTTTTTTGTCCTAGTTGCAAATCCATCCCTGACATACAATACATAGTACAAAGGCGGTTTACAAGGAGCAGTTGCCAAATTAAGCAACCGACATAAACAGGGATTATCCCCTAATTAATCTAATTAATTTATTCCTAATAATGATGATGGCATACATGTGTGGCGATGCGCGGGCATACCCACCTGCCGAATAAAAAAACAAATAAGCATGAGGAGGTGGGCTTGTTTCAGGGTGACATGGCGTTGTCACATCCATATGGAAGACATATCCATGGTAAATTATGTATAAATAGCATGGTAATATGCACATCGTGGACCCAATAACTCATTCATAAACACCGTGGTAATATTTTTGACCAGAAAAAAGAAGTTAAAAACATAACACGTAACTTATGTGTAAATAGCATGATAATATATGCATCGCAAGCATGATAACTTAGGCACAAAACACCATGGTAACTTTGACCTTAGAAAAAAAAATTGTTGAAAACATACCTAGGTATCTTGTGTGTAAACAACATGATAATATACACATCGTAGGCATGGTAACTTTTAACCTCCAAAAAATCACTAGAACATATCAACATGGGATCTACTTACAAAGATCGTTGCGGCGGATTTTTTATATGAAAACTGATTTTGAATCTCAGACCAACTATTTGAGCTTGAAAACATTTTGAATTTTGAAATAGGAAGAATCTAGGATGACATCATTTTTTTCATCTAGTGCATACATGCATGCGCATGTGCAGAAGGATGACGGAACCATGCATTTTTATGTTGCTGGTAACTTCAGTGAAAATACCACAATAACTTACATACCATAGGCGCGGTAACTTATGTAGGCCAGGCGTGGAAACTTTTGACCCTCAAAAAAGTCGTCACCAACATTAGATATAGTTTCGAAGATCTCGTCGCGAAGAATCTTTTATATGCAAACATATTTGCATCCGGTCCGATGGTTTGAGCTATAAAATATTTTAAATTTTCAAAATAGAAGAATTTAGGATGACATCAACTTTTTTCCTCTAGTGCATGTATGCATCAAATTGGATTGCTGCAGGAGTAGAGGAGGTCATCCTAATGTATGCATGCATGTAGTTAGGCTGGTCGTAATGGGAGTATCATAAGTAGTATTATACGCGCCACCTAAGCAATTTTAACGAGATGGCATATAATTAAATGAAGAAAGAGAGGTTTGAGTATCATATCATGATACCGTATCATATTAAATAATGTGCTACTTTGTGTCATGCATGGCAATAAATGTAGTCCTATATGATACCAACATATGATACCATGCATTACGGATGATACTTCCCATTACAACCAGCCTTAGAGGGAAAGAGAGAGTTATTTGATGGTTAAGCTTAACGACCACACAGTTGTCAGTTAGTGCGGTCCTATAATAATAATTTAACATTTTTGACACACTAAAGCCAACAAAGTGGAATAGGTGGTTGGGGGCCAGGGGCAATAGCCCCCTTATAATTATATGGAACATGGCAAATTTTCTTCCTTTTTTTCAACATGGCCAAAAAAAAATTTAACAGGACCATAGCAAACTTAGTGTATGTATCATAGCAAATGAAGTTCATGGATCATGGCATTTATTATGGTCCACGGATAATGATATATAGAACATTTTCCAACAAAGTTGGCATGGCCCATGGCAACTTTAGTTTTAGTCCTCGTGTTTCTTCTTTAATACCATCACAATTTATTTGGACCGGCAAATTAAGTTGCTCGAGCATGGCAAATGTAGTATATGGATAGTGGCAATTTTTACTATATGTATCATGGCCATTTTTTTTCTTCCTTCTCTGCAAAGTGGCGAGTTTCTTCTGCACATGGACTATGGCAAATATAGTCTATGCATTAAGGAGTTTTTTTAGTCTATAGATCATGCCATGAAATTACAATCTATGCATTTTTTTAGTCTAGGGATCATACATAGTACATTTCCAACATAGTTGTCATGACAAATCATAAATAGTTTGGCCAAACTCAAATGGCATTTTTTTTCATCCCATTTTTTCCGCTTTTAAAGTTGATGGCATGTTTTTCATAGCAGATCAAAAATTGGTTTTTATTTGTGACAGAAGAAAAAACAAAAATCGGTACCTTTTCGTTTGTTTCGTTATTGGGCTTTTTTTTTTGGTAAGCCAAATTGTACTAGTATGTTCATATCAATGATTAAACACCTTTAGTCCAGCAAGATCATCACCAAGATTTTGAAGACCACATAGCAGGGAGGTAAGGGTATCATGGTTGCTGGTCAGCAAAATCAGCCTTAACTGTAAAGTGCCACACTAGACAAAAGGTGTTTTGGGACGAAATCTCGCATCAGCAAAGATCATCGCTCTCTGACGGACCATTCATTCCTTGACACATACTGCACGCACGCGATCGAGCGATCAAATGATTAGATTTCCACACACAGTGGGTGCTCATGGGGCCGTATTTTGGTTAGCAAAACTAGCGCCGTTCAATTAAGCAAACCAAATGCGTGCATGTTCTTGGTTACTTTACTCCAAGAGTCGTCGAAATCAGGCCGATGGAACATGCAACGCAAGCATACACCGCGAGTATGGTTGATTGGAGTTCCCCGTATATGTTTGACTACTGGTTGAACACGATGGAGCAACTCAGAATGTTTTTCTGCATCTGACTATCATATGTACAATTCTGGATTAGTAGTTAGAGTTAGACCAAAACGATGCTGCTTGCAATCTGACACCCTGGCAAATTGATAGGCAAACATTCAGTTAGTTGGTACTGTCCACACAGAAGAACACTCCAAAGATTTCAGTGACCCCACACACAATTGCAATCAGTGCACTTAGAGCAACTTCGATGGGGCGATCCAAACGCGGACGGCGCTTTTGTCAGTTTTTTTGTCCGTTTGAGTCGGCCGCCCGTCCGGCGTCAGCCCAATTTTGCATTTGGTCGGCAGTGCGTTCAACGCGCCGACCCATTTCATGTCCGCATTCAACTTTTAAATAAAAAAGGCCCGCGGCCGATCATGTCAGCGGCCATGTCTCATGCCGGCACCATGCCAGCGCCGGCATAGATCACTCGTCATCCAATTTGAGCATGTCGGCCTGCATCTTTTCGAACCACGGCCTCTTCCTTGGCGACACGGTGTTGAGATCCACCTTCATGATCTCCACCCCGGTTATCATGCTTGCAAGAGCCACTTCTTTCGCCTTTGTCTTGGCGTTGGCGGCCTCGATCTCTAGCATCTTGGCTTGCTTCTCCGCTTCGAGCTCGAACATCTTGGCTTGCTTCTCGGCGTCAAGATCAAGCCTCCTCCTTTGGATCTCCATGAAAGCGTCCATTTGCTCCGCCTTGAAATGCCGGCGCTCCTCCTCCCTTGAGTCCTTCTTATTAATCATGCCGTCCACGCTTGCGATCAAGGCGTTGGTGGTCGCATCTCGCTTGTCCTCCTTCTTGGAGTTGGTCTTCCCCCTCGGCCGTGCCGGCTCGCCCTCCCCAACATCCTCCACGGCTTTCTTCCCCCCACGTGCCTTGAGGGCGGCATATTGCGCCTTAAACTTCTCTTCGTCCTTGATGACCCGATAGCAATGGGAGAGATTGAAGCACTTGCCATTATGTTGAACCTTGAATGCCTCCAAAGGTTGAAATGCCGACAAAATGTTTCCATGCAAGCATATGGGCAAGTGATAGAAAATGAAGACGT